GTCGCCGCGCGGCTGCCGCCGGGAAACGGGTGGGGGGGTTGCCGCGTCCAGCAGGGCCCAGCTCTGATCCACCGCCCCCTGGTGGCCGCGCGGGGAGCCGCAGGGCCGCGCGCCCCCTTGTGCGACATGTGCTGCCGGCCCCGGGCTCCATGAGCGTGGCGGGCACTTTGCAGTCTCGGGTGTTCCTGCTCCTTTATCTGTTCCTAAGCCGGAGGAGAGGGGACGGGAACTGGGGAAGGCAGGGTCGTTTCTGCAATATCACCAAAAAATCACAAAGATTAGCAAAATGCCGTCCGGACCTCATCACTTGGGGAAACAACTCTTTATCCCGGCTTGCAGCCACGAGGTCTTGATTGGGGGAGGGGTGGTGAAGAATAGTCCCTTTGCTGCTGCTTTTCGCTCTCATTGGAGCCGTACAGCCGAGTTAACGATTGCTGTTGATCATACTGGAGTATTTCAGGTTTTTTTTTTTAACATAAGACACGAATCTACTACTTGTGGGTGTTTTTAAACTTTATTCTCTTAGACATTTTCACCCATACATTGTTGGTCTTTTAAACCCTGCTAGTATTGCCTGGCTATGTTATCCTCGGTTTTGCAAATAAATGTAATTAATTGATATAAGGGGGTTGGAAAAGAGAAAATTTAAATATGGATTTGTAGGGTGGTAGTAATTTTGAGCAAATATGTTTGTCTTTTCTCCCTATTTCCCCCTCCCCCATCCTAGTCATACACGTGGACCTAACTGCACCAGAAGCTTTTCTAAGGATACTTGCTGGAAAGGAAGTTTTCCCGAGTGGGTAAGTGTATTCTAATTTTTTTTGTTAACTTTTCTTAAAAACAGATGTTTCTTGACTTGAGTAAATAAGATGGGATTGGGTTTTCAAAGAGTGAAATAGGTATTTTGTACTTTGTCCATTTACCTTTTCTAGAAAATTAACTCCGTATGGGTCAGCTAATTTTTACGTTAGTAAAAGTACAGTGCAAAAATCGTTATAAATCTTTGGAAACTGATGCAGGGTTTACAAAATGTAATTTTAGAACTCCTTTAAATTGGGTGATAAAATAGATCTAATCTGGAGTAAGTTTTCAGGGTTTAAAATAATTTAAACACATATTTAAGTTCTACGACCAGTTAATGCACTTGAAATGTAGTCTGAAGAGTAATTTTATTAATCAGTTTACCAAGTATTTGCTAATTGGAAACCGGAAGAAAAGAAAAATGTTTTGCCACGTGGATGTGAAGATTTCCTCTGAAAGGTACTTGAGTCAAATTGCCCTGTTGATAAATTAGTTCTCATTCATATGCAGTCAGATTTTCACTTTTTAAGTCATGCCTTGGGGAATGGCCTGGTAAAGAAAGAGCCACCACTTTCTCTTACAGTGTTAGAATGATGGTTAGTTATGATTGTCTTGTGAAAAAGATTTTTCTTCTAATTTTAATGTCTAAATGTGCTTCTAAATGGAACTTGCAGGTTTAAGATAATTAAACTCATTCTGCCTTCCACCATTAGGGATTATGCTGGATTTTGTATGTTTTATAGCTGTTAGAGTTTGAGGTGTTATTCTGTCTAATTATTTATTTCAAATTTAGCAGGAATACAGAGAACTTCACCTTGTAAAACTGAAGATTGTGACCAGTCAGAATAATGTCAAAGTGCTTACAGTGCAGGTAGTGATATGTGCATCTACTGCAGTGAAGGCACTTGTAGCATTATGGTGACAGCTGCCTCGGGGAGCCAAGGGGGGCTTTGAAGCGCAGGGCCTGCTGGTGTTGAGTGCTTTTTGTTCTAAGGTGCATCTAGTGCAGATAGTGAAGTAGATTAGCATCTACTGCCCTAAGTGCTCCTTCTGGCATAAGAAGTTATGTTTTCATCCAATAATTCAAGCCAAGCAAGTATATAGGTGTTTTGATAACTTTTTGTTTGCAGTCTTCTGTTAGTTTTGCATAGTTGCACTACAAGAAGAATGTAGTTGTGCAAATCTATGCAAAACTGATGGTGGCCTGCTATTTCCTTCAAGTGATTTTTACTAATTTTGTGTACTTTTATTGTGTCGATGTAGAATCTGCCTGGTGTATCTGATGGTGACAGCTTCTGTAGCACTAAAGTGCTTATAGTGCAGGTAGTGTTTAGTTATCTACTGCATTATGAGCACTTAAAGTACTGCTAGCTGTAGAACTCCAGCCTCGGCCTGTCGCCCAATCAAACTGTCCAGTTACTGAACACTGTTCTATGGTTAGTTTTGCAGGTTTGCATCCAGCTGTGTGATATTCTGCTGTGCAAATCCATGCAAAACTGACTGTGGTAGTGAAAAGTCTGTAGAAAAGGAAGGGAAAATCAAACCCCTTTCTACACAGGTTGGGATCGGTTGCAATGCTGTGTTTCTGTATGGTATTGCACTTGTCCCGGCCTGTTGAGTTTGGTGGGGATTGTGACCAGAAGATTTTGAAAATTAAATATTACTGAAGATTCACCTTCTACTTTTAAATGTTCCAGAGATGTGAAATAAAAAATCTTTGTAATGTTAATTACTTTGTCACTGTAAAAATCATACAACTCTTTGTTCCTTGAAATCAAGGTTTATCATATTTTTGTACTAAAACATTCTACCTCTGAGGTTGCATGTCAGATTTGACTGTTAAGTTTTTATTGTATTTTTTTTTTGTTGAATTAGATTTATTTCGTTATCAAGTATTTTATTATGAATGTCTGTAAAGGAAATTTACTTTAATAAATGACTGATGATAATCTGTAAAGTTTGAGGATATGCTTTTTTGCTACCGGATATTTTACTTGATCTAAAAGTTAATTAATAAGTCATGTTACTTGTACATTATTCAAGTATTTAAATTTGGTGAAAATGCTATTCTGTTTAAAGCAATGTGTAAAGAAAGGTTTTTTTTATTTTTTAACACATGGAATTTACATATGGGAGGGGAGGTTGTGTTGTTTCTGGTAATACTATTTTACGAGTACTGATGTTCTTGATGTTAATTGGTTATGTACTAGTTTTCATAGTAATTAATGATATATAAACTGTTAGTGATCTGTAGACTGTTCTTTGCTTTCTGGAACTTAAAAAATATAAGTTAAAAAGAAAACAAGGCATGCTGATGATAAATGGAGTGACAGATATGTGTTATGCATACACATCTGTAATGCCAAGAGTGTTCCCTGCTGCCTTCAGAAACCACTTTCGCAACGATGACAGTTGGTTCTAGGCTTATGTGACTTATGTCACTGGAGGGGAACCTAAGAAGTGGCAGTTACAGTATTTTTCCCAACATTTCTGCCTTTTCTTTTCATGTGTTTTGTCTCTAGCCTGGGTTTCATATGTGTGTAAAAATGTGGGTTAACTTAAGAAGGATCAGGTTTAAAAGGATCAATTGTTAAATTGGACCCAAGCTGAATTTTGGAGGAAAGATGCTATCTTACTAATATGAAATAAATATCTGTCACCTTATTTGTTACACCACCTGATAAATTTAGAAAGCATTTTTTAAATAGGTTATGTGAAGTCAAACAAGAAAAGTTTAACTTCTAATGTATCCCTTCTTTAAGAAATTTAAGGAGTTTAATTATGGGTCCCTGAATAGAATGGTAAGAGTTTCAGTTATGGAGTTGATGAAAAGGTAAATTTTCAGAATGAGAAAATATTAAGAATTGTGTAGTGATTTATGAAATGGAAATCTAATTGTTCTTTGGTTTGAGTTCTTAAACCTTTTGAATTGAAGGAAACCTGAAAATTGTTTTGTTTTGGTTATTTAATGACAGACATTGCTTTAAACTAAATGTTGTAAAAGTCCCATAATGTTAGCATGGCTTATAGTAGTCTGCAAAACTGTGCGCTGTGGTTATAAGTGAGAAGAGTGATGTTTACATCTGTCAAACCATATAAAGCTTTTGGGGAAATAGGCTTGTATAATTCTTTGAAGTGGAAGTGATAAGAAGCCTGCCAGTTGATTTCTGTAGTACGCTAAAACGTAAGTCAAATAAATTTTAAAAACAAAACCTTTAGAAAAATGGTTAACTGTTTCTCTCTAGATACAGAACTTCTGTTGTATTTGTGTTCAGAACTTAGTTGGACTTTAGCTGGGACTTATATCTAGTAAACAAGTTAATAAGTGTATGTTTTCTTGGGTTGGCGGTGAGGCTGAGGTTGTATAGGGTTTAGTAGGAATTGCATTTTGTTTGTTTCTGGCTTTACAATGTGGCAAATTTTATGTTCTTGATCCTGTTAAGATTTTCTTAGGCATGACAACATAGCAGTTCTCAAGTAGCACTAACAAAATGCCATGCAGGTTAGTTCTCAACTGATTTTGTTGCCTGGATGAAGCAAGGCTTTGTCTTGTAATATTTTTTATCACTATTCTCTTTGTTTTTCCTCCAGAGTCTCAAATCCCCGTCTTTGCCAGCCCCAGCAGGTCGTGCGGTGCACACAGTGGCCCCTCAAGGAGGGGACTCAGGAGGCATATAAAGGTTGACATTATTAATTTAGCTATTTTGAGATAGAAATAAGTGAACAAATTGATTGTAGCTGATAATTGCTTCATCTCTAATTGACCTTGGAAAAAACAGTTTGGACCTTTTTTCTTAGTGTTTTAACCCTGAAATTGCTTAAGACTTAGGATACTGGCACTTCAGGTTTGATTGCCTTCAAACTATTAGAAAAAATTAACCTCTTCATATTCTTTTGCATGTTATGTATGTACAATTGTCTCGTGTGTTTAAAAGGAAAGCACTTAAGGTTTTACAAATTATTCTTTTTCAAAGTTGCTTGCAAAGTAGTGGTGATTTTACTAAAAACTTTGAGATCTTCATTTTACAGGCAAACCTGTCTAAGCAGAGCAAGCCAGACTTGGGTTTTTCCCTGTAGTTTGAAGAACCCTACAGAATGATTCTTGACAAAATGCAACCTGCAACTGCCTGGAGAACAATTCATTGTCACATCAAAGTTTATTATGTATTTAATGAAATACTGTTCTCAGTAATCCATGACCCGGTGTAGTTTGTCTATGAGAGAACTAGGAATCTGAACTGAGCACTAAAGGTAAGGGGAGCTCAGTGTAAAGGCCAATTTTTGGTGTCTGACTGGAAATGAGATCATCATGCCTGCTTGAGACTTTGCAGATTGTCCTTTGCTTTAGAGGTTGTTTTACAGCTTACATTGTGCTTAAAGTCTGAATTAATGTAGTTTTCTGTTTTGATAAAGTTCAGAATGTAATATTCTTAATGAGTTTTAAAGGATAACTAAGATGGATGTATCTCCCGTGAATTTGAAGACTATGGAAAAATTGTTAAGGTTTAGTTTTCTTTTTCCAATAATTTGAACACAGACATAGCGTTCAGAGATGCCTGCTTTTGTATCTGCAATTTAGGTATGCTGTTTGTTTTAGTGCATTTAATGTAAATAAATTACGTGTTTTAAAATTACTTGTTAAGAAATTGTCCAGAATGAGCATATTGAAATAAAAATCTTAAGGTTATTCTTAGTTGTGGCAGTTTTTCTGGTTTTCTTGTTGTTTTTTTTTACTATAAATGTTCTAAACATCTTTGCTTATTACTTGAGGTAATTGGGGAAGTGGGGAGAGGTACTGAAGTGATTCACCTGTATTATCTTACTTTGGTATCTATGGCATCTGTATTTGTATCCTAATTTTACAGATGAGGAAATGAGATGAGCAATATTTATGTGTAAGAAGGATATAAAACTGGTAAATGGATCCTAAATTCAAACTTATGTCAGTCTATAAAAAAGGGTATCCTCTACCTATTTTGAATCTGACAAATGCTCAAGTCACACTTAAAGTTACTTAATTTAGAGATTGAGTTGGGTTTCTAATATATTAACCTAAAATCTGATTAGATGGGCTCCAAGTGTAAAATGTTTATTTTAAATCATAGATCATAGGCATTTAAAACCCAGCCAGTTGAGATTTTACTAATTAAGTCTAAAGCGTCTCCATTTGGTTTTTACTGGGATATTGCACACGTTAATAAAGTTTTTTTTACCTATTAATTCATTGAAAAATGTTTGAGGAAACCATAAAGTGTGAAAAGTCTTAACTGCTTTTAGTAAATACCCAAATATTTGTTGATACTAGGGGTGAATCTTTCTTAATGGACCTGTAGTATATTTGAAACAGATTGAGATGTGTTCAGCGATTTCTGAGTGTTCAAAAAAATTATAGTAAAAATTTTTAAAATAAGGTACTAGGTTGTGTTTGTGGCCAGTAAAGCCACTCTGAAGCAACAGTTCCAGTCTTGTGCAGTTTTGAGTACTTTAAAAAAGCATGTCCCTGTTTACATGTTTGTTTATAAGTTTATATACTATGAAATTGTTAATAGATAATGGTAATGTTGACTTCAACTTAAATAGACTAAAAGACATTGAAAGCTTCTTATATTCCACTGGTAAACTTGAAAGAAATCATTCTTATATACTTAGTTGAGATGTAATGATCTGTATGGGAATACCATTATTCAGCAGATGAGAGGAGCTGGGATCTCTGAATGTTGCAAGAGTAGTAGATGAAAATTGTCTACGTTTAGGTCAAGTATGTATGCCCCTCCAGCCACTACGTGGTTTTAGGCAGTGCATCAAGTCCCGTTACATCCCTCACATAAATTCAAGAATGCAAAGGCCATGTTGAGTGAAGACTACTGTTGGATACCTTTATAAGATAAGGTTCTTAACCACAGTTGGGCATTATAATTAATTACCTGAAGATAATTTTCAAAATATAAAGTCCTGGAACTTTGGTATGGATGCATTAGATAGGATCTTTGGGGAGTGAGTAGGGCTGGATGCTAGGAAGACAACCATTTTGAGAAATCTGTTAATTTTGATATATTTAAGAATATGACTACTGCCGTAAATTGTCGAGAATGACGAGCCATGGGAAGAACATGCAGAAGGCAGAATAACATCAAAGCAACACCTTGGAATTTGTATGGAGGTAAGATGCTCACTAAATAGGACTGGAGAACAGACTTTTTGCTTCATATACTTAAGTTCTATAGCTGTTTTGCTTGGCATGATACCTTTCAGCTGGTGCCAACCTTATATTTGCTTCTGAATCCACAGGCTTTTCCTCACTCCCAACTTTAGGTGGTAGTAACTCCCCTCTCTGCTCCAAGGATACTTTGTTTTGGTAACAGCACCTAATACACCAAGTGTGTAATGGTCTTTGCTGATGTGGATTTCCTTGAGGGTTGGCTCTTGTAATCACACTGGTCTACAGGTTCATTCCATACAAGTGATTTTCTAGTCCTCTTTCCAGACTCAAAGGAATATACCTCTCGTTCTTTGATATCTAAAATTTCTTAAAACACTTAAATAAAAAGGATGTTATTTTTGCCATGTTCTGAACATTTCTGATCTCTGATTTTGCCCTTGACTGCACTGTTACTCGTGACATAATAGACTGCTGCTTCTAAAATATGAAACTTCATTGAGCCCCCAGCTCACTCGATTGCCTTTATACAGTGGCTTTTGGTTGAAGGGCTCTGCGTCCCTTGTCCCCACCTTTTACCCTCTCCAGGATGACTTCAAGGACTTTGCACTTGTTCTTCCTGTAGGTTGGAAAAATTTCCCCCACCTACCTATGTATAGTTTTTTTCGTACAGTCTGCACAACTGTCAAGTCAAACTAGCTCTCCTTAACCGCCAACTGTAGTCCCCTTCCCTGGGTCCTGTTTCCTAATAGACTAGTGGCATCACCTGGGATCTTGTTAGAACTGCAGGATCTGAGGCCCTTTGGCAAGCCTGAATTGCCATCTTCATTTATTTTAAGTTTTATGCCCCTCATTCCCCTCTAGGATACTCCATGAGGGCAGGGATTTGAAGATGTGTGGTTCATTGATGCCTAGTCAACACCTAAAAACTGTACCCAGCATGTAGAAGGTCCTTGATAAGTCTTGCATAAATGAGTGGAGGTGCCTGTGGGTGAATACGACTGCTAGAGTGAGGCAGGCTCAGTGGAAGTTAACAGCAAAAATGAAAGAAGGCATTGATCTGCTAGTATGTATGAGACTTATAAAAGAATCATTGTAAGATGCCTTATTGATAAGCTTATCAAATATCTAGTAGAAGAGATCAGTGTAGTGTTTGTGAGTAGGAGATGGGTAAGTAAAGGATTTACAGTATCCAGTAATTTCTCTGGCAAAAATGAAAGCCTTAGTGTCTGAAGTGTTAAGAAAATAAAAGACCTCTTCCTTCTGCATTCCATTTGCATGGCAGTGTAATGGTGATGTTGAAAGTATGTAAATATTGAATTGGACTCATCTAAAAAATGAGCAACTGATGTTCAGGCCGCTGGGGTAAAGGAGAAGAGCACCCACCAAACTAATTATTGAGGAAGGTGAACATGGTGGGAAGTTGTGCTTAGAGGCAGGATAGTTCTCAACATAATTGTGTTGCCTGAGTGAAGTAAGGCTGTCTTGTAATATTTTTTATCGCTATTCGCTTTTGTTCTCCAGAGTCTCAAGTCCTCATTTTTTGGTTATTAAACAACTTAGCATTCTTAGAACATCACGGTACTGACTGAGACACTAGAGTATTCTAACTTTTGGCTTCACCGCTAGCAGAAGGTTTCAGGAATGCAAGTAGTCCTACACTGGTATACGTGCCTTGAATAAATTTTGAATTTTCTCTCTGGTGTCCTGAGGCGAAGAAAGCATCAGTAAAGCCTAGCTTGAGGAAATGTTCTTTGTGATGTAAGAAAAGGGTGATAGTAAGGAGGAGTTGAAGGAAAACCAGGTACGTTCTCAGATTAATTTTAGGAAACGACATACAGAAATTGGTATGGCAATTGATTTCCTCAAAACTAGACATAACTTCTTGTAGTACATCTAGTTTGTGGGCCCCAGGAATACCTCAACTCCGATTTGAAGACTTCTAAGTTACCACGTGGTACTTGGCTGCTTGGCTATACTTAAGGAGTATAGTGTAATGGTTAAGAGGGAAACTTCTTGTTCAAGTACCAGCTTACTCCATTAGGTTAGGCAAGTTATTGTTTGTTTTTGGCTTTTCCAACTTGGTCAGCGAGATAAATAGCTGTCATAGCTATCCCAGTTCATGTTCTGCTAGAAACAAGCCTCCATTCCACCTGCATTTGAAACAGTTTCAGCTTCACTCAGCTTGGACAAGTTTAGGTGTCAGAGCCATCTGAACCTAGTCTAAGGGATAAGATCATTTTAAAGCCTGATCCTTATGCATCATCTCTATCGTCAGTGACAAAGTCAGCTTTCCCTCAGCACACAGGATACCTAGACAGGGTGGTGGGGTGAATAACAAAAGGATGATAATAGAGTACAATACTGAGTTGGGGAATACATCTCTGTTGGTCCCAAACATGATTCCGGTGAGGGGCGGGGTAGGAGGAGTAGATTGGGAGTCCACACGGGTCTCACCAGGTTAAAATTAAGGTACTGGGGCCTCTACAGGATCTGTTGCCTTGCTTTTTCCCAGCTTCTAGAGCCTGCTGGTGGTCCTTAGATCATGGCTGCTTTTCTCCATCTTCAGATCCAGCAACAGTTGGCTGAGTCCTCACATCACACTATGCTGACCTCATAGCCTTCATTTTCCACTTTTAAAGGCACTTGTGATTGTATTGAACCCACACAGATATTCCAAAACTCATATTTTAAGGCCAGCTGATTAGTAGCCTTAATTCCATCTGCCACCTTAATTCCCCTTTACCGTGTAAACTATTTGAAGGTTCTGGGGATTAGGACTCAGATGTTTGAGGGGACCTGTTGTACTGCTTACTATGCCTCCTCTCATCATCTTGTGGAATTATGTCAGTTTTGAACATTGTTATAGTTCCAGACCTGAATAACTACTTAGGATTTCTTTCAGACAGCTTAAGTAAAATTAATGAATTAAGGAAAAGACTTAACAACCCAGTGAGAAAAAAATGGTACAAACTCAGACTCTTTAGAGTTTTCCTCCCCAGGATTTAAATTCCAGCTTATAGAGGTTTGAAGAGAAAATGACTATTCATAAATTCAATTGTCATTCTTGTCTGAGTAAAAGGAAGATTTTCTCAGATGGGAAAGGCTCAGTATATACTTGTCACAAATCCATTCAAGAAAAAAGTTGTAGAACTACACCAGTCAGCTAACAGGTTATTTAAAGAACTCCAGAATGAGGGAGCCAGGAAATAAAAATGTTGGCCTATAAGACACGTAAACATTAAAGGACTGCTTTAAGAAGTGAAAATACAGAATGTAGAGACCACCAGGGTCTAAAACCTGAAAATTAGCAAAAACTGGGAAATGAGCCTTAGAGACATGTAGAAGGTAAATAAGCAATCTATCCTTTGCTTTGTTAGAGTGCAGAAATGGTTTGAATGTTATTTTTATTTCAAGGCAACCACTAGCAGAATAAAAGACTAAACTAGAAAAAGAGCTAAGAAAACAACCCACAAAGCAAAAGACAAGAAAGGAGGAAATAGAAGAGCATTTTAGTAGAAATT